GATTTTATACATAATGTGTGTATCATCGAGGTTTATCTCAAAAAAACATTAGCAGATCTCTGAAAATATTTTATATATAATGTGTGTATGTTCGAGGTGTATCTCACAAAAACATTAGCAGATCTCTCAAACACTATTATCGTCAACTCTGTGACGTTTCGTTGATTGCAGTAAAACGTATGTTAATTTTAACATATATATATATAAACTGGGTTATGTTTATTTTCTTGTTTTATTTACAGAAGCTGACTTCCTATAACTGACAGTGAACTAGGATTTTTCATGAGAGACATTATAAGCTAGGACTGCCCTTATTTTTTCCTGATTTTAATTTTGTTCTGATTTCACAGAGGAACTGTATATTCTTCTGTGAATTATTTCACCCTCTAAGGAACGCTTTATGGCTTCCTTCCATATGTGCGTTCATTTATCAACATGGGTTGTTGAATATGAATGAGACACTGCCCTGCCTTTATCAAAGGGCTTTACAACCAAAAAAAAAAAAAAAATAGGTACCAAGCATTCATGGTTGTGATGCATGGGTTTGTTGTGTATTCCAACCTTTCCAAAGTTAAAATAAAAGCATGATTCCCCAAATTACAGACAGAGTCGTTCTCATGTGACCCCCTTAGATGCATAAAAGTCACGGGATAATTTGTAGCTAAGACGATTTATTGTAATGGTTGTAACACAAACAAGTGAATGTTTGCTATTCTTTGACAATTTTGGTAAACATGGAAGTTTTTAAGATGTTATGCTATTAAATTCCCATACTTTTTATTGATTTCATGCACAGAAGATAGTTCATGTCGATATTACACACTTCAATCACAGTTTACAACATTATTCCATTTTTCACTTTTGGACACTACCAAGATGCGTCTTAGAAGAGTAAAAGTGGACTTACAAATTACGACACATGGTCCGAAAGGGTAAATAAGAGTTATACCAGTTGCAGCAAAACACTAGCAAAAATATTAACCACAAATATAGATAGCTATATAATAACACATAAAAAAATCATTGACAAACAACTGTCTGATCAGGATCTATCACAGGTAGTTTGCAAGCACCAAACTATTTAAGTAAAATTTGCAGGAACATGTATGTCAATAACATTGTCAGATATTATGGAAATATGATCATTTTTACATATTGAGAATTTCATATTGATATATATATATCAACTTATAATATTTAATGAAAGTCATCGGAAAGTCATGTGCTGCATAAAATCTAACTATATAGAAGGGTTAACTAGTTTTATTTATTCATTGAAATGTTTCATAACATTTATATACCGACATTATAATTGTCACATATATATATATATGTAAACCAGTGATGAATACCACAGACAGATTACTACCATATCCGCAGCCGATCGTGGACATTGAAAGATGATAATACTTGAAATGTTCACTTTGTACTATCGATACTGATATCCTGAATCGGAATATCTCCAATTTTTCTGGTTCGTTATTACCCCATCTGTCTATATTTGGGGTTATACCATTAGCAGTTTTTCCTGCAGTTTGTATAACTGCAATTAATATTATAGTTTGTGTTATTCACTACGAGTTTTTGGAATTATGATTGTTTTACAGCTATGCTATGTTTATTTGTTTGTTTAACGCTAAGCCACATTGGGATATCTGAGCTCTGTCTAAGGGGGGGGGATCTTGGATTTTACCGTTGTAATTCCGTAAAGTTATCGCTGACCCACAAGGCAACCGCTATGTTCTGGTTGATGACGTTATCGTTCACTTGCAACTAATGATGCTTTATATGTCTTATACTTATTAATATATATATAGCTAAATAGACAACAGTGTCTACATTGGAGTTTGGTTCACAAGACTAAACCACAATAAGCCACGAAACTGGCACCAACTGAAGAAAAAATGCATAAGCATTACATATAAAATCTTTGGAGAGATCTGCTAATGTTTTTGTGAGATACACCTCGAACATACACACATTATATATAAAATATTTTCAGAGATCTGCTAATGTTTTTTTGAGATACACCTCGATGATACACACATTATGTATAAAATCTAAAACCTGAGGACTAGACATGTTATGTGATCAATAATGCATTCGGCACTCTCTTTTTCACACACTCATTTACATTAGTATACACACAACGGTTCTGACTGGACTTAATTTTATTTCTGAGATATGCATAGCTACAGAA